ATCCCGGTACCTAACCCTTGTGGCACTCCCTCGCTACCAGTTGAGCTACGCCCACCGGTGAACTCTCCCTTCTCTCCAAACAGAGGAACATCGTCTCCCCTTTTTGTAGGGGCTGAATTTTCTGCCGCTCCTATCAATATGTGATTAGAGCGACAAATTATATGATTTTAAGTGTTCTAATGCTCATGATTGCAACTACGTCAGAGGAGATAGCGTTGATGGATGAATGAGGTGTTGGAAAAATGTGTGAAAAATTGCATTAAATGATAATTTTGAGGCAATTTTTGGAGTGGGGTCCACTTCCGATTTGGGTCGGGTCAAAGTGGTTTCGGATTGTCCTTGTTAAGGGCTACAATTTGATATATGGTACGCTCAAAACGGATAACGGGTGCATGGAAAATTGATTCTCAAAGTTTACCCGTTAGAATGAGAAAACTGGGAAAAAGGATGTGTTTCTAGTGTGCTAATTTCCCACACCGGAAAACCCAATGGATTTGAAACCTTTTATAAAGGGACTCCCCCCTTAAGGAGTTAAGATTCCTTAGGGTAAAGGCTCTCTCCACGCGCGCAGGGGGGGCAACAAATACGTTTTAAGGACATCGTGCGTAGCACGAGCTTTGACTAATTCTGCTTCATCTCCTTTCTTGTTTTTCTCTTGTCATTTTATATAATTAATTTATTTTAATTAATTTTCTTTATTTTCCGAAACACATGACCCAACATGAGGTACGACCGAGAAGTTGTATCAAGACTGGACCGTGAAACCTTGGTCGGTCATTCCGACGGCGGAGGAGTTGGTATTCATCCATATTGCAAGAGCTCGTCCTCCTCCGAAACTACCTCCATACCAAGTAGAGGTTTGTGGAAAGATTTTTATTTCAGTACGGAGTATTATTTTTTGTTTAGTAGCATTTGTTTCTGTTTTAGTTTGAGTAGATTTGGTTTGAATGTTTGGATTTTTGAAGTTCTTTCGATGAGCAGGGTTTCGGTTCCGATTGTTTTAGGCCTAAATTTGCCCGTTTCAGGTTTAGCGAGTCATGTTGCTTTGTATGAGGTGACTGACCCTAAATCTACTCCTAGGGTTCACGATTGAATCTGTAAATTCTGTCTGAAGATTGTCTTGTATGTGTTCTCGATTTTAATATAACGGTCGCTCTTTTATGATTAAAAAAACAGTTAGAAAAGTCAGATTAGAGGGTTTGATTCAGTATTTTGATAGTGTGATGCCTAAATTGACGTTTTCTCTATAGTAGTAGAATTTATTTGACAGTTTTTTCATTTTATTTCTTTCAAGTGGGCTGTTTTAATCCATGCCAAGTATTGTTCCATTCTGTTCTCTATAAAGACCATAGATTGCCCGGCATTATTTTCTTGACCTATATTACATCAGCATTGTGACCTGATTGCAGAGTTCTTTTTTGTTGCAATGTACGGAGTATTGCTTTGGGCAATACCTATTTAACTGGGTTTTGAATGCTTTTGACTCATCCCATTTAACTTTGAATTATTAACTTATAGTCCATTTGCTATAATTTAGCTATGCCTGGACTCGGGCCGGTTCGGGCCTGGGCCCGGCCGGGCCTCGGGCCAGGAAAGGGAGGCCCGAGCCCGAACCGCCGGTGGCCGGTTCCGGTCCCGGTTCCGGGCCAAACCGGGCCGGGCCGAACCGGCCCAATAATTTTTTTTTTGTTCTCCTATTTAATCCCCTACCCCTCCCCCTCAACCCCAAACCATCCCAAACCACCTCAAATGGCCCAAAATACCTAATCCAACCTACAACTTAAAAAAATTTCAAAAAAAAAAAAAAATTAAAATCCGGCCCGGACCGGGCCCGAACCGGCCGGGCCGGTTCACCAAAACCTGGGCCCGGGCCCGAACCGCCCAGCAGCCGGGCCGGGCCGAACCGAACCGAGGGACCCACCGGGCCCCGGGCCGGGCCAAACAGTAACCGGGCCGGGCCGCCCGGCCCGAGTCCAGCACTGAATTTAGCACGGTAAGTTTTATAATCACTATAATGTAAAATTTGAATGTAATACGGAATACTAGTTACAGTAGTTACTAAAAGTTACTCGGTATTAAGTAACGCTTTTGTCCACTACTTTTGTTTTGATTATATAATTGAAATTATTCTTGCACTTATTCTTGTTATTTTTATCAATAATAATTAAGTTCTTTTCTATCAAACAAAATTATACTACTTCCGGTTTTATTTAATCTTCACACTTTGACTTCACACAAAATAAGGAAAGAAATTTGACTATACTATAGAGTACACTGTTGAGGCACTGTTTGACACTGTTTGGCACTATTGAGACACTGTTTGGCACTGTTTGACACTGTTTTGATGTAGATTTCTTTGCCAAAAAAGGAAATAAGGAAGTGTGAAGTTTATTTTAGACCGTCCCAAAAAGAAAAGTGTGGAGTTTATTAAAAACCGAAGGGAGTATAATCTGAACTTAAAAATAGTATGGAATAATAGATATTTTGGATAGCTTAATAATTTTTTAATGTCGCATAGATAAATCAAGGCCCATTCAATATCTCTCTCAGTTTTTAATGATTTTGAAAGGCATATGATTTATGAGAAGATGTCACTAGTAATACTACGTACTAATAACGATTGTTTTGACAAAAATAGGACTTGATTTGGTAATTGCCAAAAAAGAGATTACCGTGCGTCTCATTTAGAAACTTTAGGAGTAAATTGTCATATTTGCCCCTGATTTATCAAGTGACTGTAAGCTTTGAGGATCAAATTCTGCAGGATTTCATCTGCAATCGGCAGGGCAGTCCAACCTGCCAGCCGCCAGGACCTCACGACAGTTGATGGTGCTTCTGGATTTCTGATTGCAATTTGGTGTGAATGAGGCAGAGTATGGGGCGACTCAACGGCTACCAGGGCGGCGACCGCGCTGGTCGATTGAGACAGATCCAGACCTTGGGGCTCTACTTTCAGTGACGGCAGCCGGCAGATAGTTGGCCATATCGATAGGCATAACACATGACTAAGCGGCCATGGGTTGCCAACAAGTGCAATGCTTGCCTTGAATGCCTTTTGCAAGATGGATTTGTAATACTTCAAATAAGTGTCAGATTAGTCGTAAATCTATATGCATGAGTATCTTGCCATTGAGACATTGAGCATTGAAGGGTGCAAAGATTGAATTAGAAATCATTATACAAGAAAATCAGGAAGTCTGATATCCTTTTTGGCGTGTTTGCAGTAATGCAAAAAACCCAAGTTCTGGTCTCTGTATGTGAGAATAAGGGCTGTGAAACCTTGATATTTACTCCGTATATTTTTATTTATAATGTATACTATGCAAAATTTGTTGTAAATATACTTCACAGAAATTAAGAACGATGTATCCAAAGATATTGATATATACGATTAAGGTGGTTTATGAACACTCTATTGGAATGTACTTTTACAAGGATTAAAAAATTAATAAACGAAGTTACTACAAAACTCATTTTAGATGTATATATGGTAGACTTGAATACGCACTAACTAGCACTGTAGCAGACCAATATTATGTCAAAAAAAGTTACAAACTACTTGGAGTATTGTCGATTAAAAATTATAATAAACGCTTTCCTCACACATTAACATTATTCAAAGACTACTATGAAGTATGAATGTTACTCCGTAGAATGTATTTTTCCTAGAATAAAATAGGCATAACTACTATCAGAGTGCATATATATGTTCACTGATTCCATTATTTATTTGCTTTCATGAGCTCATATTTTGTACTTTAAAATTCGATTCGATAACATTCACTAATATATCGCCGTGCATTGCACGGGTGGAACTCTAGTATGATCAAGTCAATGTGAAGATACTACTTTTCTTAAACTATCATACATAAATCAAATGTTGAAATGTATCTCAGATTTTGGGAAGAGAAAGTCTTCATGTTACTTAAAAAAATCATACCAATAACACATACTTTAACTTTTTCAGAGTTATTAATTTGTATTGGAGATATTGCTAAAAAGTAAAAATAATTCGACTCCCAACCCTAACAGAAAGACGTTAAAATTAAAAGTAATGGTACCTAAGATCTGTTTCTTTTCCTTCACCGCACACTACCACACTAAGAGAGTGTTTGCGATTGCTTCAACTTTAAAAAAGTGATTTTTTAAAGTGATTTTGGAAAAAGTGATTAATAGTAAAAGTTGGTAGTGTTTGAGAAAAAAGTGATTCTGAAAAAGTAAAAGTTGGTAGCGTTTGGTAAAATAAGTACTTTTTGTGTAATACAAAAAGTGAGAAGCAGTTTAAAGCACCCTTCTACCTGCTTCCAGCTTTTAGCTTTTAAGTGATTAATTTAAGCAGAAGCTATCATTTGAAAACACTCTTTTCAACTTTTTTAAGCCAAAAGCTGAAAAGCGCTTTTTTTAATCTACCCCAAACACTCCTTAAAGATTGGTTTGCAACTACTTTTAAAAAAGCACTTCTCAACTTTTGGCTTTAAAAAAGCACTTATTTTCTCAAACACTACAACTTTTATTTTTCTCGGCTTCCATGTAAAAAATGCTTTTACTTTTTCTATTACACAAAAAGCACTTATTTTACCAAGCACTATCCACTTTTACTTTTCAAAATCATTTTTCTCAAACACTTTAAACTTTTATTCAATCACTTCTCCCCATTTCATTAAAAAACGTTTTTTTAAAAGCAGAAGCTGTTTCAAACAGACCCTAAGGATATGTAATCAAATGAAAAGCACCAGGCTGAACATGGCTAAATTTGAATACGCCTAAATTCCCCAAAATATATTAAGCTAAGCAGCCCAAAATGGCTTATGGTGATGCCTTTAACAAAGATAATTTTGAAAATAGGAAGATAAATATACTTTATTGGCTACTTAAATGGTACTATACTAGTATGTATGCCATTAGCAATTTCTTCTTCCACAAATTCCAAACATGTCTTCATCACCCATAACTATCCAAATTGAGGAACATCAAGGAAAAAATAAGACAGCCCATTAAGAGAGAAACTTTGTTACTGCCTTCTTGGAACATATACTTGTAGTACATGTTTGACAAAAGTGAACTATAAGATTTTAACCACAATGAACTAGAAATCTAGAATGAAGAGACAAAAGTGCCCCAAACTCCACAAAGATTAAACCAGCACGTAACCACATTATCCAAGAGGAACAATGACATTACAAAAACAAAACAGAGAAAAAAGAGTGGGGATATATAACCTAAAAGTGATACTAGCTAGTTTTATGTGGGGGGGGGGTGATGCATGTGATGTAACTCATGTAAGTAAGGGGTACTTACCCTGACCTATTAACTCCCAAGTATTCTCAGAAGCTTTGCCTTGTAGATTGCAGCCACAACATAAGCCCAATTAGCAAAATTATCAAGGACTTTGAAAAAAAAAAACCTAAAAGACCTGTTGAATAGCACTGTCCCAAGAATCGTAAGGAATCCAAATGCATATCCCACCCCCATGCTTGCATAAAAGTCACCACCGAAAATCTTATCTACATCTTCTCCTTTTTCTTCTTCACTGAGTCCAGGAGGAGAAGGATAAGTTAATTCTTCTCCTGGACAACTATTGAGGAGTGGATCTCCGCATAGCCCGAGATTCCCCATGTATGCACTTGCATCAAAGCTCTGAAGTTGAGTGCTTTTCGGGATTTTGCCTGATAAGTTATTGTTGGACACATTGAGAGCACTTATGCGATCAATCAGGGCAAGGCTTTGAGGAATGCTACCAGACAAATGGTTATTAGACAAATCAAGAGCCTCTAAGTTTGCCAAGTTACCAATCCTTAAGGGAATTTGTCCGCTTAGGTTGTTTTGTGATAAGTTCAAAGAACGCAGCCCAACAAGCGATGTGATTTCACTTGGAATTTCACCGGTCAGTACATTGGATGAGAGATCAATACTTTTTAGGAGCCCTAATATACTATCAAATTCAGAGACCTTACCTTTCCATACGGTATCTGTTTTGTCATCTTCGTTGATAGGCATATCACCTGAAAAAGTTGAAGCTTCGAGAGATACTGATATCTCAAGAGAAATCCTGGGACTGCCGCCTTTTATTACATTCATTTGAGTGAGATTCAAAAGACAGTTGGGAAGACTCCCTGAGAGGTGGTTCATGGACAGGTCCAACAGTTGAAGAGATTGGAGATGACAGAGACTTGTTGGTACACTTGCACTGAAGTGGTTGGATCCTAGCACAAGAACCGCAAGCTGTGGTAGACTTTCACCCACCCAATCTGGTATTGGTCCAGATAAGTTATTGTGTCCCAGTTGTAAAGATACCAATTTGGAGCAGTTTTTAATGGATGAAGGTAGAACTCCCGTAAAACTGTTATGGTCAAGATGCAATGCCCATAGGGATGCCAATGATCCAATAGAAGTTGGAAGACTCCCTGATAGATTGTGATTGTTTGCCAAGTTGAGAACCACCAGACTAGATAGACTTGACCAACAGTCCGGAAGTGTTCCTGAAAGTTGATTGAATGAGATATCCAAAAGCCGCAAAGCAATAGCTGCCTTAGGACCCTTAATGTCACACAGGGAGTTGATTTCAGTGATGTTATTATGAGAGAGGTACATCGCTGACACATTGAAGAATGATTGTGGAATGGAACCTTCTAATTCATTGAAACTCAAATCTAGTAGAACCGCGGTTCGAAACCCCGGTGATACTTGAGCACTGCTTACAATTCTTCCCTTGATTGCGTTATGAGAAGCATTAATTCTCAGAAACTCAGTAGTTGTATTCCAAAACCAGGAGGGAATTGAATCCGAGATGGCGTTATTGGAAATGTCAAGTTCTATGTAGTTCACTTGAGTTCTAAGCCAATTTGGAAATTCAGGGCCCAAGTTACAGGACTGAAGGTATATAAATTGCAGTTGGAAGGGAGGAAGCCAAGTAGAGGTGAAATTGAAAGTGACATTGTTTGAAGATAAGTCCAGTTTATATAGGTGGGAGAGAGTAACAAAATGATGTTCAGAAATGACCCCATGTAGGAGGTTATTACCGAGATGTAATTCGTTTAAATAGGGGAACATGGTAAGTTCAGGAAATGACCCCATGAGTCGGTTGCTAGTTAAATACAATAGCTGCAGAGGGTGATTTGGGCATAATGTGGACATGATTAGGCTTCCATTAAGATGGTTGAATTCCAAGTCCAGGTTCTTAAGAGTGCATATATTCCAAATGGATTTTGGGATTTCTCCTTCAAATCTATTATAACTCAGGTGAAGGTGAGTCAACTTGACCAACTTTCCAAAAGATTCAGGAATCGAGCCTTCTAAACTAGTATAGCTCAGGCCAAGATATGTAAGGCTGGTCATGTTTTCTCCGAAACTCGTTGGGATTTGACCGCCCAAAAAGTTTCCGCTAATGTCAAGGTATGCCAGGGACCACATATGCCCAAAACCATTTTCAAGAATGGGACCTTGTAAACCATTAGCACTGAGATCAAGGTGTGTGAGGGCAGACATGCAGTTCCCAAAATTTTCAGGAATGGGACCTTGTAAACCATTAACACTGAGATCAAGGTGTGTGAGGGCAGACATGCAGTTCCCAAAATTTTCAGGAATGGGACCTTGTAAACCATTAGCACTGAGATCAAGGTGTGTGAGGGCAGGCATGCAGTTCCCAAAATTTTCAGGAATGGGACCTTGTAAACCATTAACACTGAGATCAAGGTGTGTGAGGGCAGGCATGCAGTTCCCAAAATTTTCAGGAATGGGACCTTGTAAACCATTAACACTGAGATCAAGGTGTGTGAGGGCAGGCATGCTACTTCCAAAATTATCTGGAATGGTGCCAACAATTCCGGTGTCCCTAAGACCTAGATGTTGAAGGGAAACCATACTACCGTTGTTGTTATCATTACTCCCAATCAATGTTGAGATGCTCTGGTTTGCCAGCAAGTTGCTGATTAAGCCAAGATCCAAATACTTCAAATAGCGCAGCTCATCGATGAATGGAATGCTGGTATACCTAACTTTCGCGGTCGGCAGATACACAGGATAAAGATCAATCTTGATGACATGGCCTGTGAGGTTATCACACCCAACCCCAGTCCAACCCCTGCAGCAATCTTCGTTGTGGTTGCCCCAAGAGTGCAGACGGTCCTGCTCGTCAACAATGTTGCGCTTAAACTGGAGAAGCACTTCCCTCTCCGCATCGATGCATTTACTGGCACCCACGCTCATAGCCAGCACCATCCAACTCACCCCCACTGCCATCAACAACAATACTATACCCATGCTTAATTACCTTGTTAAAGTATGTTCTTCTCAGCCACTCGTCTTCTTTTCTGCTTCTCTGGTTCCATAGATATAGTACGAGCCCACCGCCAAGTCAAGTCGTTCTCAAATGTAAAATCACGCCCATCATTCCATGTGTGGACGCGGAAGAAGAAAAAGAAGAAGACGGTTTTCCAAAACATTGCCATTATCTTCGAGTGGCCGGTGGAGACCGTAGACGTACTTAAGATGCAATCAATCATTCATACAAGCATACACAGGCACCTTTTTTTTTTTAATCTAAAAAAAATGCAATAATATTCATCCGTACAGGCATCATTCTTTTTTGCATACGGCTACCGTTTTTTTTTGTTTAAACTAGATTCTCACCCGTGCGATGCACGGGACAAAATATGATCAAATCATGTAAAGTACATCAATCGATGAAGAGTATAGCATCAAAGATTAATATATTTATGTAGTAATGATTATTAGGGATAATAATATAATAATAGTAATATAATAATATAATATAATATTAATAATAACGACAATAATATTGATGATAATGATAATAATTATAGAGTATGATTTTGGATATTATATTTTTATAAATCCATGTGTAGACTGTCATTCATTTTCATCCGATTCTATACTTGGACTGTTTTCGGTCTCAGATCAAATCAAATCACATCAAATCAGATCAGATTTGGATAGTTATATATAAGAGTTACTCCCTTCGTGCCTTACAACTTTGCCATTTTCCTTTTTGGGACGTCTCAAAAAACTTTCTCACTCTCCCTTTTAATCAATGATTTTGTGGTTTTTGTTATCTCTTTTCTCTGCACAAACCTCAAACACACAGTTTTTACTTTATTATTCTCCGTATCAGTCAACTTTTGCAAAGTTTTAAGAGACGGTGGTTGTATAAAATTTAGGGGCATTTCTGGTAGGAATCAATTGTTTAGTCCTATTTGAGATGATTAAAAATGTATTAGTCCTATTTATGTATTTTATGTTATTTTTAATCATATATAGAGCAATTACTATAGTTATAAAATAGATCAGACATTTACTATATCAGTTCAGAACAGACCAGAAAATTTCAATCTGAGTAAAAACATTCACTTGTAGACCAACGTCAATTAGTAGCCTCTATTCCAAGCATATCGATGTTTAATTCGTCAAATAAATACTACTACGTACTCGTATATTATTGTGTTGAAAGTTGCCTTATTTAATGATTTGAATGGTTACTATGATTGAAAGATATTCAAAGAATCTCTGATCAATTCACTTTTTCATCGTCTTTTGGTAATTAACGCGTTTGTTCTTCACTTAAATTATTTTTTGAATTGTTATGAATTATTGGATGAACATTGGCATAAATCAAACTATGGATCTAACTGTACACATTTTATTTGTATAGACCTTGCGTCCTTGCTACTTACTCCGTAGTTCTTATCGTAATGAATATAATTGTTATTCTTTGCTTTTGGGTTTAATAAATTAAAACGGACTATGATAAATAAATAAAAAATTCAAACTGACTTTGGGAGTGTTTGCAATTGCTTCAACTTTAACAAAGTGATTTTTTAAAGTGATTTTGGAGAAAATGATTAATAGTAAAAGTTGGTAGTGTTTGAGAAAAAAGTGATTCTGAAAAAGTAAAAGTTGGCAGTATTTGGTAAAATAAGTACTTTTTGTGTAATAGAAAAAGTGAGAAGCAGTTTAAAGCACCCTTCTACCTGCTTCCAGCTTTTAGCTTTTAAGTGATTAATTTAAGCAGAAGCTGTCATTTGAAAACACTCTTTTCAACTTTTTTTAACCCAAAAGCTGAAAAGTGCTTTTTTTAAGCAACCCGAAACACTCCTTTTGCAATTTCAAATGATAATTTATACCCCACTGCGTATAAAAACTTCCCATGTACGGAGTAATTCGTAATATCCATTATCCATACACATTTTTTGAAAGGAATATCCATTACATACACATTTTTTGAAAGGAATATCCATTACATCCACATTTAAAAAAAAATTGAAATGTTAAAAAGATAAGGACAAAGTGACGCAGAGAAAATTACAGAAGATCGGTCCACATGTACAATTGTACACCGACTACTCTCCACCAAATCACACTTCCCTAAATTTACCTTACAAACATCTCAATGGAATCCAGTATTGTCTCGGTTCTTCTAACCCGCCACTTCTCTTCTACTCTGCCATTCTCTACAGAATATAGAAACTGAAACTCCACCACTTCTCTTATTATATTCTGCAGATGCGTCCTCACTTCCTCAGTAGAAGGCACCGCTATATATGTCTGACATGCCTTATCAGCAGATCCATGTGTATCTAATTAACTCTTAAGGCCAGGTCAGAAAGCAAAATTTGCTTCACAAATCCATGTCTAGATTTTTAAAACGTAACCCAAGGCAAGAAAGCTTGACTTTCAAAACCTCACTCAATCGAGTCTTCCTCCTGCTGTTTACAGCTTTTAAAAACTTTTTGTAATAGATCTAATATCTATGAATTTGTAAATTCTTCCTAAGGAAGTTGTTTGAAATTGGCTAATAATTTTTTTCAAATCTTTTTTAAAAATTGCTGCAATAGATCTATAAATTTGTACGGAGTAATATTCTTTAGTGATTTACTTCCAATTTTCATTCAATGTACTACGTATATAATTACCGTATTTTCCCGTCGCATCTCATTTTTACGAAGAGCTTTGTGAAGGAAGATCTAAAAATATTGATATTATTTTTTCAGGACTGTTTAGATTTATTTAACTATTTAAAAAAAAAAAAAACTATTTGTTGCCAAGTTGCTCCTATTTGCTTGTAACTAATAATAGATTTCACATGCTCAAGAATGTGTTATGACTTACTTTACTCATTGTAACTTTATCCTATTCCAAATTGTAACTTCATCCACTTCCAATTTTTAGAGAATAATGATGTTAGATTTGAGCAAACATCAACACTTATATATAATTTATAATTTTGGTTCTGAATTTTATCTGTTGTAAGACTATTTATTTTAGAAAATATTTACTGCTATGTTTTTAAATCCTTGTACGGTGACTTAGTTTTCATTTTCATAATCTTTACCTATCAATGTAACTTATTATTTTCTGATTCCCCTTATTTGAAAAAGGTAAAGAAACTTATTGTCATAATACAAAATTAATGACATAAAGCTCAATATAGTTTAACATATCTTCCTTTAATACTTATATCTTACTCGTATTACTTTATTATGTTTCAGATCTGCATCTTATGTTGGAGATCACAATCCTAAAAACAAACTGAAAATGGTTACACAAATATTTTAAATTATGAATCCAAAATATTACTTTCTTTTGTGTTCGGATATATTTCCATGTAACCACCTAAATCTGTCATTATTATGTATATATATTACGTAGTATATTATTATTTACCTGTATTGCCTTCTGATTCTTGGCTAATGTAACGCATAGTAGTTACCTTTCTCAGCAAATGTCTCATGTATATAATATTGTAAGTATGTATATTGAAAGGTGGGTTCAAGAAAACGATTTTCTTCGAGAATCACTTGCACATATTTCATAATCCATTTTCAAATGAGATGTTTGTTCATTTTGCTTGTTGACGATCCAGACATCCTTTTTCTGTAGTGATTCCTGAATTCTTTGCAATAGCCACACTGAAATAAAAAAAACCAATATTACTATACAAAGTATTTATTTTTTATCAATATGAATAGGGAAACTTATAAAATGTAATAAAATATGAAAATGTATGGATCATATGTCTTTTATTTTTAACATTTTACTACTTTGTAGTGGAAAAAGGATATGTACCTCGTAAGTCATGGAGGAAATATGGCTGGCATCTCTAATGGTCACACAACTTCTCGTGGGAGCTCATGTTGTTTGTTGTTGGGTGAAAATTCACTTGTAATGCATCCGTATTTATAATGGATTGGTTCTGTGTTAATTTTGTATGTGTATAATTTATCCCTTGGACAATGAGCCCGTTTGGTAGCACCAAAATCGGCTGTTTTGGCTGATTCTGCTGAAATTTATGATATTCTGGCTGGAGTGGCTGTTTTGGCTGATTCTGCTGATTTAAGAAAAAAATATTTTAAAAATATATTTTATTAATAAATTAAAGAAAAAATTATATGTAAAAATAGCTAAAATGGTCCTCTACAGTAACTTCAGCCAATACGGCCAGAAAAGTAACTTCAACCTTACTTTTTCGGCTTATTACACAATTCAGCGCGCGAAAGTAAAAGTTACGTGTTTGGTGAAAAAGCTGGCTGATAAGCCTGATAAGCCGAAAACAGAGTTCTCCAAACGGGCTCAATAATCCGTATCAATTCAAAAATCTGAATTCAATAAATGTGGGATTCGATGTTTACCTACTTTCTTGGTTATATCAACCAAGTCTGCACATTTGACCAGTCAATTGGCTCTTTTGCACGCCAACTGCCAACAAATCTTCCCCATTGATAGGCATTTATTGCCCACTACTCGACTTGGCTTCACCATTTATTGTACATTAAAAGCGTAGTACTATTTCTTAGCAAAGATCCAAACCCGTTTTCTCAAGCCTGACCCAATCACTGACCCGTGACTTTGGGCGGGAAAATGGCCTCTTTTTCCACCTCTTTTTATATGGAGGTAGATATTTTGCCAAAGTCAAGGGACCGGAGGCGAACGGCGAGGCGCGTGGAAAATCGGCAGCGTTTGCGTCTCTGGGGTCTGGCTCAATGGCTTGGAGACTTCAGGAAGAAGAGGATCGGACGGACAAGGTTTCTTCAGGTTTTCATTTTCGAACTTAGATTTCAATGCATTTCAACCTCACGATTACTCACCTAAATGTACAGCTCACGTTTTCTTTTCATCCTCCATAGCTCCCATGTTCCTTCCATCCACACTGTGTTTCTCCTTTCTCACTCCATTTTTGCGTTCTCACCGGATATCTCATTTCTCTCCTTTATCAGAAATCTTCAATTTCAGTCGGCTTCATATGAAATCTCTCCATTCAGATTTCGAGGATCAAATTCGGCAGCATTTTATTTGGTCCTATGAAACTGGAAAAATTGAACATTGTTACTCCAAATTACGAAAATGGGCTGATTTGGCTCATTTTGCTGTATGAATTCTGACTGAAGTGGCTTCATTGGCTGATTCTGCTGATTTAGGAAAATATTATTTTTAAAAAATATTTTATTAATAAAATAAATTAAAAAACTATAGGTAAGAATAACTAAAATGGTTATTACACAATTCAGCCAATACAGCCAAAAAAGTAACTTCAGCTTCACTTTTTCTGCTTATTACACAATTCAGCGCGCGAAAACAAAAGCTACGTATTTGGTGAAAAAGTTGACTGATAAGCTGGAATATAGTATTGCCAAACGGCCTCTAAATAAGTTTACCTAAAAGTGATTTTGCTTCGTAAATTTCTTAAATACACTGGGGTATATTTCTTAAATATTTTTAGTGAATGCAATAATACTACGTATATAGTTTGTTTGTGATAAATTCTATTTTAACCTTAAATTGTATATTATTGAGTATATTTGAATTCTTAAGAAGATTTATTAGTATATGGAAAAAAGATGAGGTCTGATCTATGAGGATACCAAAGACAACCACCAATGCGAATGCATCTAATTTTTGCTTATCAATACGTATAAGCTCTTTATTATGATTTTTCTTTGATTTGCAGGCCATATGCAATTTCCTAATGTTTGAATCAGCACCATGGATGAATATAATTTGATGCAATGAATGCAATGCTGAGGATTTTGCTGACAATATGTTTCAAGTACTATTTATATGAAGGATTAGTTAATCTAATATTTAATCAATTGCCATAACGTTCATTTGCATAGCACAAGATATACGTAGTACTTGATTATCTTTAATGTGGTGTTATCATTTCTATTGATTCTAGCATGACTTATACTGGCATATGATTTTTTAGGTGTCTTGCTCAAGACTTTATGAGGTCTTTTTTGAATTTATCAAATTATTCTTCAGTTTTTTTCTTATTTCCCTTATTTTCATAATGTAATGCACTCATGCAAGAGACCTACATGATTTAGATATTTTAATGGCTATGTAGTGTTTGTTTAGTGTTTTTTTCTCAATCACGTGTATTGATCTGATAAAGACCTTGAAACCTGAGACATAAGACATTTCTTATTTCAGAGTTGGTTAGTAAGTGGGTTGTTTTTTGCAGTTTATTCAGCTCGAAAAATGAATATTTGTTTGGTTAATTGTTAAAATCTCGAAAAGTTGTCATTTTATTAGAAAGTAGAATACTCTTTGAGCACTGAAAGTATGGAAATCTTATCATTTACCTAGCTGATTCATGTAACTTCTTTGGAGAGGGTTAATTATGTCAATATAGCTAGACAATTCATGCTGCTTCTGAGGATGGTAGGTTCTATTAAAATGTATTACTCTTTTTTATCTATGTTTTTATTTATTTCTAATTTTAGGCATGGTTGGGAGGCATGTTTGCAAAGATAACATCTCAGCAAATTGAAAATGGATTTATCAAGTGACCGTAAGCTTTGAGGATCAAATTCTGCAGGATTTCATCTGCAATCGGCAGGGCAGTCCAACCTGCCAGCCGCCAGGACCTCACGACGGTTGATGGTGCTTCTGGATTTCTGATTGCAATTTGGTGTGAATGAGGCAGAGTATTGGGCGACTCAACGGCTACCAGGGCGGCGACCGCGCTGGTCGTTTGAGACAGATCCAGACTTTGGGGCTCTACTTTCAGTGACGGCAGCCGGCAGATAGTTGGCCATATTGATAGGCGTAACACATGACTAAGCGGCCATGGGTTGCCAACAAGTGCAATGCTTGCCTTGAATGCCTTTTGCAAGATGGATTTGTAATACTTCAAATAAGTGTCAGATTAGTCGTAAATCTATATGCATGAGTATCTTGCCATTGAGACATTGAGCATTGAAGGGTGCAAAGATTGAATTAGAAATCATTATACAAGAAAATCAGGAAGTCTGAAATCCTTTTTGACGTGTTTGCAGTAATGCAAAAAACCCAAGTTCTGGTCTCTGTATGTGAGAATAAGGGCTGTGAAACCTTGATATTTACTCCGTATATTTTTATTTATAATGTATACTATGCAAAATTTGTTGTAAATATACTTCACAGAAATTAAGAACGATGTATCCAAAGATATTGATATATACGATTAAGGTGGTTTATGAACACTCTATTGGAATGTACTTTTACAAGGATTAAAAAATTAATAAACGAAGTTACTACAAAACTCATTTTAGATGTATATATGGTAGACTTGAATACGCACTAACTAGCACTGTAGCAGACCAATATTATGTCAAAAAAAGTTACAAACTACTTGGAGTATTGTCGATTAAAAATTATAATAAACGCTTTCCTCACACATTAACATTATTCAAAGACTACTATGAAGTATGAATGTTACTCCGTAGAATGTATTTTTCCTAGAATAAAATAGGCATAACTACTATCAGAGTGCATATATATGTTCACTGATTCCATTATTTATTTGCTTTCATGAGCTCATATTTTTTACTTTAAAATTCACTAATACTCTAGTATGATCAAGTCAATGTGAAGATACTACTTTTCTTAAACTATCATACATAAATCAAATGTATCTCAGATTTTGGGAAGAGAAAGTCTTCATGTTACTTAAAAAAATCATACCAATAACACATACTTTAACTTTTTCAGAGTTATTAATTAATTTGTATTGGAGATATTGCTAAAAAGTAAAAATAATTCGACTCCCAACCCTAACAGAAAGACATTAAAATTAAAAGTAATGGTACCGAAGATCTGTTTCTTTTCCTTCTCCGCACCCTGCCACACTAAGGATATGTAATCAAATGAAAAGCACCAGGCTGAACATGGCTAAATTTGAATACGCCTAAATTCCCCAAAATATATTCAGCTAAGCAGCCCAAAATGGCTTATGGTGATGCCTTTAACAAAGATAATTTTGAAAATAGGAAGATAAATATACTTTATTGGCTACTTAAATGGTACTATGTATGCCTTTAGCAATTTCTTCTTCCACAAATTCCAAACATGTCTTCATCACCCATAACTATCCAAATTGAGGAACATCAAGGAAAAAATAAGACAGCCCATTAAGAGAGAAACTTTGTTACTGCCTTCTTGGAACATATACTCGTAGTACATGTTTGACAAAAGTGAACTATAAGATTTTAACCACAATGAACTAGAAATCTAGAATGAAGAGCCAAAAGTGCCCCAAACTACACAAAGATTGAACCATCACATAACCCCAGTATCCAAGAGGAACAATGACATTACAAAAACAAAACATAGAAAAAAGAGTGGGGATATATAACCTAAAAGTGATACTATGTGTGTGGGTGGGGGGGGTGATGCATGTGATGTAAGTAAGGGGTACTTACCCTGACCTATTAACTCCCAAGTATTCTCAGAAGCTTTGCCTTGTAGATTGCAGCCACAACATAAGCCCAATTAGCAAAATCATCAAGGACTTTGAAAAACGAAAACCTAAAAGACCTGTTGGATAGTACTGTCCCAACAATCGTAAGGAATCCAAATGCATATCCCACCCCCATGCTTGCATAAAAGTCACCACCGAAAATCTTATCTACATCTTCTCCTTTTTCTTCTTCACTGAATCCAGGAGGAGAAGGATAAGTTAATTCTTCTCCTGGACAAGTATTGAGGAGTGGATCTCCGCATAGACCGAGATTCCCCATGTATGCACTTGCATCAAAGCTCTGAAGTTGAGTGCTTTTCGGGATTTTGCCTGATAAGTTATTGTTGGACACATTGAGAGCACTTATGCGATCAATCAGGGCAAGGCTTTGAGGAATGCTACCAGACAAATGGTTATTAGACAAATCAAGAGCCTCTAAGTTTGCCAAGTTACCAATCCTTAAAGGAATTTGTCCGCTTAGGTTGTTTTGTGATAAGTTCAAAGAACGCAGCCCAACAAGCGATGTGATTTCACTTGGAATTTCACCTGTCAGTACATTGGATGAGAGATCAATGCTTTTTAGGAGTCCTAATATACTATCAAATTCAGAGACCACACCTTTCCATACAGTATCTATTTTGTCAACTTGGCTGATGGGTATATCACCTGCAAAAGTTGAAGCATCGAGAAAGACTGATATCTTATGAGAAATGGTGGGACTGCCGCCTCTTATTACAGTCATCTGAGTAAGATTCAAAAGACACTTGGGAAGATTCCCTGAGAGGATGTTCATGGACAGGTCCAACAGTTGAAGAAATTGGAGATGACAGAGACTTGTTGGTACACTTGCACTGAAGTGGTTGGATCCTAGCCCAAGAACCGCAAGTTGTGTTAGATTTTCACCCACCCAATCCGGTATTGGTCCAAATAAGTTATTGTGTCCCAGTTGTAAAGATAGCAATTTGGAGCAATTCTTAATGGATGAAGGTAGAACGCCTGTAAAACTGTTAAAGTCAAGATGCAATGCCCATAGGGATGCCATTGATCCAATAGAAGTTGGAAGACTCCCTGATAGATTGTGATTGTTTGCCAAGTTGAGAACCACCAGACTAGATAGACTTGACCAACAATCCGGAAGTGTTCCTGAAAGTTGATTGATTGAGATGTCCAAATGATGCAAAGCAATAGCTGCCTTAGGACCCTTAATGTCACACAGGGAATTGAGTTCAGTGAAGTTATTATGAGAGAGGTACATCGCTGTCATGTTGAAGAATGATTGTGGAATGGGACCTTCTAATTCATTGAAACTCAAATCTAGTAGAACTGTGGTTCGAAACCCCGGTGATACTTGAGCACTGCTTACAATTCTTCCCTTGATTGCGTTATGAGAAGCATTAATGCTCACAAACTCAGTAGTTGTATTCCAAAACCAGGAAGGAATTGAATCCGAGATGCCGTTATTGGAAATGTCAAGCTGGATATAGTTCACTTGAGTTCTAAGCCAATTTGGAAATTCAGGGCCCAAGTTACAGGACTGAAGGTTTATAAAGCTCAATCGGAAGGGAGGAAGCCAAGTAGAGGTGACATTGAAAGTGAAATTGTTTGAAGATAAGTCAAGGTCTTCTAATTTGGAGAGAGTAACAAAATGATGTTCAGAAATGACCCCATCTAGAAGGTTATCACCAAGATATAATATCTGCAAAGAGGGGAACATAGTTAGTTCAGGAAATGACCCCGTGACTCGGTTGCTACGTAAATACAATAGCTGCAGAGGGTGATTGGGGCATAATGTGGATATGATTAGGCTTCCATTAAGATGGTTGAATCCCAAGTTCAGAGACTTAAGAGTGCATATCTTCCAAATGGATTTTGGGATTTCTCCTACAAATCTATTCTCCGAAAGATGAAGCTCTTCAAGCAAGGACATATTCCCTAGAACTTCAGGAATGTGACCATCCAAACTATTATAACTCAGGTCAAGGTGAGTCAAGTTAAGCATCTTTCCAAATGTTTGAGGAATGGAGCCTTGTAAACTGGTATTGCTCAGGCCAAGGTACGTAAGGCTAGTCATGTTATCCCCTAAACTCGTTGGGATTCGACCTCCCAAAAAGTTTCCACCAATGTCAAGGTATGACAGGGACCACATATGCCCAAAACCATTTGCATGAATTGAGCATTGTAACCCATTACCGCTGAGATCAAGGTGTGTGAGGGCAGGCATGCTGTTCCCAAAATTTTCAGGAACAGGACCTTGTAACCAATTAGCGCTGAGATCAAGGTGTGTGAGGGCAGGCATGCTGCTTCCAAAATCATCTGGAATGGTGCCAACAATTCCGGTGTAGCTAAGGCTGAGATGTTGAAGGGAAACCATACTACGGTTGTTATTATTACTCCCAATTAGGGTTGAGATGCTCTGGTTTGCCAGCAAGTTCCTGATTAAGCCAAGATCCAAATACTTCAAATAGGGCAGCTCATCAATGAATGGAATGCTGGTATACCTAACTTTCGCGGTCGGCAGATACACAGGATAAAGATCAATCTTGATGACATGGCCTGTGAGGTTATCACACCCAACCCCAGTCCAACCGCTGCAGCAATCTTCGTTGTGGTTGCCCCAAGAGTGCAGACGGTCCTGCTCGTCAACAATGTTGCGCTTAAACTGGAGCAGCACTTCCCTCTCCGCATCAATGCATACACTGGCACCCACGCTCATCGCCAGCACCACCCAACTCACCCCCACGGCCATCAACAACAATAAACCCATGCCTAATTAGCTTGTTAAAGTATTTTCCTCTCAAATCATCTTCTCTTGTTCTGCAGCTTCTGCTCTGGGTCCTTAAGACATAATAGGAGCCCACCGCCAAGTCGAGTCGTTCTCAAATGTAAGAGCAGTGCAAGTGTATGACCACCGACCGATTGTTGCTCACTCGTACGTACATCTTCACCTTTTACCACGCGTCCCCAATCCAAGGTGCGGACGCAGAAGAAGAAGAAGACGATTAACCAAACCATTGCCATTATTTTCGAGTGGCCGGTGGAGATCGTATAGTAGACGTCCTAATATGCAATCATTCACACCCCACACTGGATTTAAAGAGGGTTCTTGACCAAATATTTGGGCTTTTTCTATGAACATTAGAAAACGTGTCCTTTCTACAAAATTGAAAAACGTTGTGCTATGTGTGGAGATGACAATTGTGACTAGAGGCGGGCAAAAATACCGAACCGGCATGGTACCGGATCGATAAACGGGGTTTGAAATGGATCTTAATTTTTTTTGTCCCGAACCGGACCGTACCGGTTCCAAACAATGTCACGACGGGTTCTCATAAAATGAGGATCGGTACCAGACCGGACCGGACCGAAGTACAGTTAAATTATTTAAATTTGTACTATTATAGTTTATCTAAAATTTATTAGTTACATTATCCATCCCAAATTGATTTGCAAAGTCAACATTTTTTTTATCAATGTTAATGTTGAGTCCTCCCTAATGATAATTAATAATCCGTACAATTTTTAATAATTAAAATTTACATATGTAAAAACCACATTAAAATATCTTTAAAGTTGCAAAATCCAAATTAAAATATAAGAAGTATTTTTTTTCTAAAAGGCAAAATCCAACCAGATGACGACTTATAAGTCGCCCAACCGGATGGCGACTTATAAGTCGCCAAACGGTTTGACGACTTACCCCTAGGGATGGACTCGGGCCGGGCCAACCGGCCCGGAACCGGACTGACCCGCTATTGTGCGGGCCCGGACCGGTCCGGTGAACCGGTTAGTGCCCGGTTCGGGCCACCCGGCCCGGTGAGATAACGGTCTGGGCCCGGGCCTGCTATTTAGTGAACCGACCTGGCCAGGCCTCAACGATCATTTTTTTTTTAAATTGTTAAAGGCTATAATAGCCGTTGGGAGTGTTCCCAAACGGCTCTATAGCCGTTGGGAGCATAGGAGGGGGGGTCTGGGGGGTTAGGGGGTGGGGGGTGGGGTATACAAAAAAAACCTATTTATACTCCTATTTTCTATACATTTTTTACACCTCTTCTTCTACAACTCTTCCTACTCTCTAATTCTCTATTCTCTCAATCTCTCATATTCAATCATCTTCATTCTTCATCTTCTCCAAATTCTTTCTACATATATATAATTTATATAATTATTATATCTACTTATATATTAATTATCTACTTATATATATATATATATACTTATACACATTCATATTATAATTCTTTACACATTATATATACTATATATAGTTATACACATTCATATTTACTTTATATTTAGTTATTATCCATATTATTGTTATTTACTTATATTTACATATTACATTTAGTTAATATATACTTATATATATATATATATATTAAAGTATTAAGTATGAGTGTGTTACTCATCTTATAGTAATATACTTATATATTATATACTATAAACATTATATTATATATTACTTATAATATATTTACACATTATATATACTATAAATACTTATACACATTCATATTTATTTGATATTTAGTTTTTATCCATACTATTGTTATTTACTTATATTTACATATTACATTTAGTTAATATATACTTATATATATATATATATATTAAAGTATTAAGTATAAGTGTATTACTCATCTTATAGTAATATACTTATATATTATATACTATAAACATTATATTATATATTACTTATAATACATTTACAAGTTATATAAACTATATAGACTTATACACATTCATACATTTTATAAAAGTAGTTAATTGTTAGACTTCTCATTTATCTATTAAATTAGTTAATTGTTACATTTCTCTACATTTCTCTTTAAAGAAAAAAAATAGTTACTTGTTACATATCATTTATCATTTAACATTAGTTAAACTAGTTACTTATTTAATTGCTACATTTCTCATTAAAGTAAAAAAAGTAGTAAATTTTTACATTTGTCATTTTAAAAACTAGTTAAAGTAGTTAATTGTTACATTTGTCATATTAATATTAGTTAATTGCTACATTTGTCATTAAGGTAAAAAAACTAGTAAATTTTTACATTTGTCATATTAATATTAGTTAAACTACTTAATTGTTACATTTCTCATATTAATATTAGTTAATTGCTACATTGCTCATTAAAGTAAAAAAAGTAGTTAATTTTAACATTTCTCATATTAGTTAATTGCTACATTTCTCATTAAAGTATTAATTAGAAGTAGTTCGATTTTTTTTCAAGGAAAACAAATTGTTACACTAAAATATACTCATATTTTAGTTCGAATTTGCTATAGTTTTCTTAGTCACATTTTATTATTACTATTGTACTCATATAAAATATTTGATATTATTTAATATTTGTTCAATTTTAAAGATGGAGCGTGGTAGACATTTTGTAGATGTGGGTAATCTCCAAAGCAACCGCAAGAGGGAGATTGCGTCGACTCGTCCTACTTCACGCAAAGACAAAGGTAAAGTGTGGGCCGAGTCTTCTTTTCAAAGTCGAGATGATTTTGAAACGGATTACCAACGGAGAGATGATATGATGATGTCCGACGAGCAACTACAACACCTATTGTCCCAAAATGATCCACACTTTGCACAAGAACAACAAATCCCGACGAGCAACTACAACACCTATGAGCGTATTTTAATTGAGTATAATTTGATTGATAAGGTGTTTGTTGTAGGTTTTGATAATGCTAGTAATAATACTGCTGCTATACCTAGATTGCGTGAATTGTGTGGTGCTTCTACATTGATGGGTAAGTTTTTTCATCAACGTTGTGCATGTCATATTCTAAATTTGTGTGTACAAGATGGATTAGCGGCATTAGGAGATGCTTTGGAGGTAGTGAAGGGGGGAATTAAAATGATTTGGGCTAACACTCCACTACAAATGAAATGGCAGCAATATAGATAGAAAATACCCAAGTATCTATCTAGTGTTGGGAATAGATCGGGTATGGGACAAGGTGGAGGACATGGGCAAGGCATGACATATAAAGGTGTCACTATCCACCAGCCCAAGCGCTGGCATGCCATCACCGGCAAAGGCTTGTGTGCCGTCATGTGGTTTTGGGTTCTGTACAGAGCCAAACAGGATGGACCAGTAGTCTTGGGCTGGAGGCATCCCTGGGATGGTCATGGAGATCATGGATATGATCATTAGATGTTCCAGTTTGATGTATGCCTGCTGGCATGAATGTACTCTTGTCTGATTTCTTTTGGTTTCTATGAGTGACCGGAGGGGAGATTATACATTATGATGATCCAAACAAACAATTTAATTTGAATATCTTTGGAACTCTGCAAAAAAAAAAAAAAAAAAAGAAGAAGAAGAAATGGCGGCAATATTTGAAGGAAAGGCGTGTCAATTATTGTGCTTTTCCTAAAGATTTGTCTATTCGTTGGAATAGTACTTATAACTTAATTCAAGTACTTATTAGATATAAAGATCATTTTCCTGCATTTTTAAGACAAACTTGTAACTATATTATAAACCCGGCTGACATCGACACTTGTGAAAAAATTGTTAATGTTTTGGTATATTTTAATAACACAACTCAAACTTTTAGTCATGTTTATAAACCTACCGCAAACGAATTTTTTGTTGAAGCTGTTAATCTCGCCGGCGCTTTTTGTGAATTTTCCGATGCCGCTTACGTTAGTTATTTTTGTGATTTCATGAAACAAAAGTTTTTAAAATATTATTCACACATTCCGCATATATATGGTATTGCATTTGTTCTTGATCCTCGTTATAAACTTGCTTACTTGGGAACTTGTATAGATTACTATTATGCTTCTTTTTTTCCAACTCAAGACTTCGATGATAATCCCATCGACCCTAAACAAGAATACAACGAGGTTAGTAATTTATTTCATCAATTGTATAATGAATTTCATGCACAATATGGTAATGCACCCCCTCCCATGCCGCGAACATCTTATTCATCTAAAGGAAAATCACTTTTAGAATCCGCATTTGGTTCTCTTTTGAAAAAAAGTAGAGCAACTCCCGCTACTGAACAAAGCACAGTTAACGAGCTTTCTTTGTATCTAACATTGAATGTTGATTATGAAGTTGGGGATGACTTTGACGTTCTTAAGTGGTGGAAGGAAAATGAAAGAACGTTCCCGGTTTTATCAAAGATGGCTAAGCAAGTGCTAGCAATGCCGATATCAACAATTGCCGTGGAACAAGAATTTAGTGCGGCCGGCAACGTCCTAACCGATTATAGAACGAGGTTGAGCCTGAGCTCTCTTGAGACGCTAGTTTGCTTCCACGATTGGTTGAAGGCCCAATGAAGAACTCAAGAAATGACCATCGCTCCCACCCGCCACTTTATGGAGGAAACAACCACCGAAGGCGGAGATTCCGATTGATTTTTTATTACAAAACGTATTACATTTTTTAAATTCATCCTAATTCTCTATTGTACTTCTTATTTGAAATAAATATACTTGAATTATTTTATATTATTGTGTACATCAATTCAATAATTCTCAAAAAAAAATTATTCAATAATCAATTCAATAAAATTAATTTGTAAACTTGTACTTCATATTTCAAATAAATATGCGTTCATTTTTTCATATGTAGCACTTCTCAAATTAATTAATTGGTTACAAACTTATAACTTACTACTTCAAATTATTTTTGTAAAATCTAAAGGCTGTTTTTAAATTAAAATATGTAATATTAATATGTAAATTAATTAATTGGTTACAAACTTACAAGTTACAACTTCAATATGTAATTTGTTTAAATACTTATACACCTATTTTGTAACATTTGTAAATTATAAATCAAACCACTTTTCTAAGTAAAAATAGTTTTACTTACTTAATTCATTAAACTAATTAACTTATTTTACAAAATGTATAATTTTCAAAAAAAAAAATTAAAAACATTTTAAATTACAACATAGCTCCCAAACGGCTATATAGCCGTTGGGGCTTAGGGTGGGGGGCAGGGGGGGTCCCGGGGGTGGGGTTCAAACAAATCTATAAATACATCTATTTTCTACCATTTTTCTACACCTCTTCTCCAACTCTTCTCCATCTTCATCTTCTCTTATTATCCTACATTTCTACAATTCTACTTATACATCTAACATTTTAAAGATGGAAAGTAATTCTTCTTTTATGCAAAACAATTTTGATAAGTGGAAGGACCCGAAGACAGGACTGTGGTGGGCAACTTGCAAGTGGTGCAAGAAAGAGTGTTTCTTGGGGCGTTCACACGGAGTCGGGATGCCAATAAAACATATGAAGTCACGTGACAAAGGCAAAACAACAACCAACGGTGGCGGAAATCCCAATTGATATTTATTAGAAAATGTATTTCATATTGTTATTTTTTTCTCAATTCTCAAATGTACTTCCTATTTCAAATAAATGCACTTGAATTTTATTTTTAATAAGAATTATTATAATAATATAATATATAATTTAAAAAACAAAATTAAAAGGCCCGGCCCGTGAACCGGGCGAGTGACCCGGCCCGAACCGGACCCAGGGGTTACCCGGGCCGGTTCCGGGCCTCCCCTTTCCTGAACCGAGGCCCGGCCGGTCCTAGGCCCGGCCCGGGTCCATCCCTACTTACCCCTGCCATATTAAATCCATATTTATTATATTTCAGAACATCCCAAACCTGTTTGGCTGGTTTCGGATGTTCTGAAATGGAATAAACTAGTATCTTTACCCGTGCCGTGCATGAGATAAGATGGTTTTGTTGTTTAGTTTTAGTAAGGCAAAATCACTTATTTAATCGATTATAACATTTGTTTAAAATGCATATTGTAATTTATTAAGTATATCTTATTTTTGAACTAATTCCAAACATACCTTTTGGAAAGTTTTTTGTGGCTCCCATTCATTTACCTTTTTCTTACTCAACCACAATCATACATTTCCACTTTATTCTCACTTTCTTAAACTCTAATCCTTGTGGCGACCATGGTTAAACCCAGCAGTAGATCGGTAAATACTTTTAACCCAGCATTATTTTTGTAATTAATTAATTAATTAGCATTAATTCGAAAAGAAACTCGTAATTTTATAAAATTACATTTGTGAAAGAAAAAAACATATAATTTCGTTCAAATAAAAAATAAAAAGAAAAAAATATGATTATGATGGCTAAAATAACTCTTTACATAAAGTTGGGGTGTTTACCCCACATCCCTCAAAAGCTCGGGGTCTTTATATTATTTCCTCCCGGTATATATTAATATAATCTTAATATATGTTGGTCGAGAGTTTCAGCTCTCGGAAAGTTTTATTAATTACATATGATATCGACACTAAAATTGGTGTTTAAGATTTAGATAAATAAGCTAGACTGTATATAAAAGGCACATGATAATTGTTTTGCTTATGGATGTAATTTTTAGAGCCGTCAAAACGGGCCGAAACCCGCGGGTTGGCCCGTTTCAACCCACTTATAAGTGGGTTAGGGCTATCATTTTCCGGCCCGATTGTTTTGCGGGCTCAGTGGGTCAACCCTAACGGGTTGCGGGTTTAGCGGGCCAACCCGTACGGGTTGCGGGCCAACCCGCGGGCTGAGGACAAATATCATTTATTCTATGTATTTTTAATTCTATTATGAGAAAATAACTTTAAATAATACCAACTATATTCGATAAATCGATGATAATACGTACTTTAGAAATAACTTTTAATAATACCAACTAACTGGATGTGAACCAAAAATAAAATAGAGACACTTTTCTACAAGAAATTCAATCATTTAAGGCATCAAAAACTAAGATCAAATCATCAAATAATTGATATTTGAAAATATGATCACTTATTTGATATTTTGATATTATTTTTTGATGAATTGAATAAATGAATTTTTGGTAAAAATTTGCTATATATCACTTTTGATAGATAATCAAATAGTTGGTATTATTAAAAATTATTTCTCAAGTTTGTATTATTCTTGGTTCATGGAAGATAATTGGTATTATTTAAAGTTATTTTCTCTTCTATTATTTCTATATAGGACAATTATATCTTCTATTATACTCTCTTTACTTCTAGTTCTTTCCTCACTTTTAATACTAATGTATTTTGTTCATGATATCCAATTCAGACTAAATAATTTATTTTTAATGTATTCGTTGCTATACTGTTTTATAACATAAGGACTTCTATGCTGTTTTATTCATGATATCCAAATCAGACTAAATAAATGAGAAATTAGGTATTTTTGGTATTTCAACTTAACTATACCCACGATAATACATTAAAGCTTTTAAGTATTTAATCATTTAACTTTTTAAGTATACCAGTTACCCACGATGATACATTCAAACATACAACCAAAGGATTTTCAAGCACTAATTTTTTCCTTTTTAATTGTGCTTGGATTTTAATTTAGATATTTAATTGCTATTTCAATTGTGTTGGGATTTTAATTTAGATATTTATTTGTTTTTTTTTGTTTTGACATTTATGGCCCGCGGGCTGGCCCGCATAACCCGTGGGTTAGGTGGGTCGGGTTAGGGTCATAAAAATTCTGGCTCGGTAGTAAGCGGGTTGGCCCGCCCCGACCCGTGAAACTCATAACCCGCCGCGGGTCGGGGCGGGTCGGGGCGGGGCGGGTCGGGGCGGGTTGGCCCGTTTGACAGCTCTACTAATTTTAATACTCCCTCCATCTCATTAAAAGGTGGAGTCCACTATTCATACGGTCAACTTAAATCATTTTTAATCTCTTGCTTTATATATCAAATTGTTATCAAATCTACATTTTTTTTATCAGACTTTATAGCGGTTTTAATGTAGTTTCTGAATATGTAAATTTTATTTACTAAAAATAATCAGAGCATGAACGGGGATTAAGTTGCTTTATCATCAGTCAAGCATCGTAAACCGAAACGGGAATCTTCTAGCGGGACGGAGGGAGTATAATACTCCCTCCGTCCCATAAAATTGTTCCCGCGTTGACTTGGATCATAATTTAAGAAAGTGGGAATAAAGTGGAAATGTATGGTTGTGGTTGAGTAAGAAAAAGGTAAATGAATGGTAGACACAAAAAACTTTCCAAAAGGTATGTTTGGAATTAGTTCAAAAATAAGATATACTTAATAAATTAGAATATGCATTTTAAACAAATGTTATAATCGATTAAATAAGTGATTTTCCCTTACTAAAACTAAACAACAAAACCATCTTATCTCATGCACGGCACGGGTAAAGATACTAGTTTATTCCATTTCAGAACATCCGAAACCAGCCAAACAAGTTTCAGATGTTCTGAAATGGAATAAATAAGGATTTAATATGGCAGGGGGTAAGTCGCCAAACCGTTTGGCGACTTATAAGTCGCCATCCGGTTTGGCGACTTACCCCGACCAGGATTAAGCCCAACAGTATATCCGTAAATACTTTTAACCCAACCCTATTTTCGTAATTATTTAATTAATTAGCATTAATACGGAAAAAAACTCCCGATGGAGACCGTAGACGTACTAAGATGTAATCATACACACCCACACCCGGTTTAAGGAATAAACATGATCTTTGAGGTCGTTTCACATTTACCCTTTTTTTTGGATGAAATGTAAATATATATTAACACCCAGAAAAACTATACATCACATGTCCTAGATCTCCTAAAACCTCTCCCACCCCCACATAATGTGAGGGTGAAAGGAAGTTTTTATTCGATCTATTCTATGCCAAAAAAACCCAGTATAAGACCTGGCCCATCAAGAAGTTTCAAAACATACATCGGTGCAGCACCTGCTCGCACACAGATCAGAGGCTAAAAATCAAAACAAAGTACAAAAGGTGTTGCAAAGTGCAGACACCCTAAATTCAACGACCATGCTCCATGCCGCGACATCCAAAATGTCCATACCACGATGTCTCGGGTCCTCACGCCACGACATCCAACTAATCCATGCCTCGGCTCATCAAAATAATCATGTAGCAGTCTATCCAAACCGCGACATCCATAATATCCATGCCTCGACCTTCTACTCAAAATGTAATAATCCTATTTCACATTTACCCTATCTGTAGTTTAATCTAGATAGCCGTTTCACATTTACCCTATCTATAGTTGACCAAATGACTTTTCCTTTATTAGGATTTTACTTTTGTAAAATCCTCTTATATGTAAATGAATAATATTATAGTATTGGTAATCCTTATTTAGGAAGGAAACACTCATTGTCTTGTCTGTGTAACTAAATCATTCTTCTTCTCTGAATTCTCATCTTGAGGATATTCGGAATTTGACTTCTTTATACAAACGAACTTTTCCATTGAACCATTTTTACTTAGTGCCGCGTTCTCTTATTTTTTCCTCTTTTTTCTTTATCCTTTCTAGATTTAATCATTTTTATTACACCTTAAAATTAATTAAATTTATCAATTTTTTTATATATTTTTTGTCTGATAAAATCACAAATTATAACACCAACACTTAATGGATAACAACCAACAATTAAGAAATCAAATAATCAACTATGAATGAGAACAATTAATAAACTAATTAAATAATCATATCAGAATTATCTGCGTCCAAGTTGATTTTTTTATGAAATTTATTAGCATGTTTTTTTTTCAAGTTTAGATTATATACACAAAATTTCAGTTTAAATAATGATAAAGTTTGGATAAAATTCATATGTGACTTCTTAAATATTTATAAAGTTTGTCTGTATGAAGAAATGAAACTTAAAATCTATAAATAAAATTCGCCAAAAAACAAACCGGAGATATAGTCACCAGAATTATTGTCTATATCGTCTTAAACAATTGTCTGTATCGTCCAAAATACTAATATGATTTGTAAAACAAATAAATCTAAAATTAGTAAATGTCTGTGAAATTAGACCACCGAGAAAATAATGTCTGTGAACAAATATTTATTATCTGTGGCGACTGAGAAATGTATGTGGTTGTATATTTTTTGTCTGTGCCAAACATTTTTTGTCTATGGAACACAACTAATGACTATATACAGACGTCGATTTTGGTGCCTTTTTTGCAGAGATGGCAGTGTTTGTGGCGCAAAAGTACTCGACATTTTCCATTTTAATTTTAAAAGGGAAAATGAGAAAAGTAGAAAAAAACGAGGCCCGTTTGTTTTCAAAATACTCCATAATTTTGTTTTTAGCCATTAAAGGTAGAAGAGCGAAACTGAAGCACATAGCACGTACCAAATCAGCTCTTACTGATCATTGATCACCATAAAATTGACAGTTTCTAAATCCCTGACCTTCAATCCTAGATTATTGCCTATATACTTGGTAAAATTCGTAGAAAATTGGTCTAGGATTGAAGATAGGATTGCATGTCTTCGATCCTATCTTCAATCCTAGATCTATTGCCTATAAATTTTTAAAACTTAAAAGTAATGGTACTGAAGATCTGTTTCTTTTCCTCCTCCGCACCCTGCACACTAAGGATATACAATCAAATGAAAAGCACCAGGCTTAGGGTGATGTCTTTAATAAAGATAATTTTGAAATTGAGAAGATGAATATACTTAATTAAATTGTACTACATATATATTTGCTGCATCGATCATGAACTGTTGTAATACTCTGAGCAATTTTTTTTCCCACAAATTTCTAACACTTCTTCATCACCCATAACTATCCAAATTGAAGAACATCAAGGGAAAAAAAGACAGCCCAATAAGAGAGAAAATGTGTTACTGCCTTCTTGGAACACATAACATTTTAACCACAATGGACTAGAAATCTAGAATGAAGATACAAAAGTGCCCCAAACTCCACAAAGATTAAATCAACAGATAACCCCAGTATCCAAGAGGAACAATGACATAACAAAAAACATAGAAAAAAAAGTGGAGATATATAACCTGAAAGTGATACTAGCTAGTTTTATGTTATTGGGGGGGGGGGAGGTGATGCATGTGATATAAGTAAGGGGTACTTACCCTGACCTATTAACTCCCAAGTATTCTCAGAAGCTTTGCCTTATAGATTGCAGCCACAACATAAGCCCAATTAGCAAAATCATCAAGGACTTCGAAAAAAGCAAACCTACAAGACCTGTTGAATAGCACTGTCCCAAGAATCGTAAGCAATCCAACTGCATATCCAACCCCCATGCTTGCATAAAAGTCACCACCAAAAATCTTATCTTCATCTTCTCCTTTTTCTTCTTCACTGAATCCAGGAGGGGAAGGATAAGTTAATTCTTCTCCTGGACAACTATTGGGGAGTGGCTCTCCGCATAGTCCGAGATTCCCCATGTATGCGCTTGCATCAAAGCTCTGAAGTTGAGTACTTTTCGGGATTTTGCCTGATAAATAATTGTTGGACACATTGAGAGCACTTATGCGATCAATCAGGGCAAGGCTTTGAGGAATGCTACCAGACAAATGGTTATTAGACAAATCAAGAGCGTCTAAGTTTGCCAAGTTACCAATCCTAAAAGGAATCTGTCCCTTTAAGTTGTTTCGTGATAAGTTCAAAGAAATCAGCCCAACAAGCGATGTGATTTCACTTGGAATTTCACCTGTCAGTACATTGGATGATATATCAATGCTTTTTAGGAGTCCTAATATACTATCAAATTCAGAGACCACACCTTTCCATACAGTATCTATTTTGTCAACTTGGCTGATGGGTATATCACCTGCAAAAGTTGAAGCATCGAGAAAGACTGATATCTTATGAGAAATGGTGGGACTGCCGCCTCTTATTACATTCATCTGAGTAAGATTCGAAAGACACTTGGGAAGATTCCCTGAGAGGATGTTCATTGACAGGTCCAACAGTTGAAGAAATTGGAGATGACAGAGACTTGTTGGTACACTTGCACTGAAGTGATTGGATCCTAGCCCAAGAACCGCAAGTTGTGTTAGATTTTCACCCACCCAATTCGGTATTGGTCCAAATAAATTATTGTGTCCCAGTTGTAAAGATACCAATTTGGAGCAATTCTTAATGGATGAAGGTAGAATGCCTGTAAAACTGTTAAAGTCAAGATGCAATGCCCATAGGGATGCCATTGATCCAATAGAAGTTGGAAGACTCCCTGATAGATTGTGATTGTTTGCCAAGTTGAGAACCACCAGACTAGATAGACTTGACCAACAATCCGGAAGTGTTCCTGAAAGTTGATTGAATGAGATGTCCAAATGATGCAAAGCAATAGCTGCCTTAGGACCCTTAATGTCACACAGGGAATTAAGTTCAGTGAAGTTATTATGAGAGAGGTACACCGCTGTCATGTTGAAGAATGATTGTGGAATGGGACCTTCTAATTCATTGAAACTCAAATCTAGTAGAACTGCGGTTCGAAACCCCGGTGATACTTGAGCACTGCTTACAATTCTTCCCTTGATTGCGTTATGAGAAGCATTAATGCTCACAAACTCAGTAGTTGTATTCCAAAACCAGGAAGGAATTGAATCCGAGATGCCGTTATTGGAAATGTCAAGCTGGATATAGTTCACTTGAGTTCTAAGCCAATTTGGAAATTCAGGGCCCAAGTTACAGGACTGAAGGTTTATAAAGCTCAATCGGAAGGGAGGAAGCCAAGTAGAGGTGACATTGAAAGTGAAATTGTTTGAAGATAAGTCAAGGTCTTCTAATTTGGAGAGAGTAACAAAATGATGTTCAGAAATGACCCCATCTAGAAGGTTATCACCAAGATATAATATCTTCAAAGAGGGGAACATAGTTAGTTCAGGAAATGACCCCGTGACTCGGTTGCTACGTAAATACAATAGCTGCAGAGGGTGATTTAGGCATAATGTGGACATGATTAGGCTTCCATTAAGATGGTTGAATTCCAAGTCCAGGTACTCAAGAGTGCATATATTCCAGATGGATTTTGGGATTTCTCCTTCAAATCTATTCTCCGAAAGATCAAGCACTTTAAGGAAGGACATATTCCCCAGAACTTCAGGAATGTGACCTTCCAAACTATTATGACTCAGGTCAAGGTCAATCAACTTGACCATCTGTCCAAATGTTTCAGGAATCCAGCCTTGTAAACTAGTATTGTGCAGGCCAAGGTGCATAAGGCTAGTCATGTTTTCCCCGAAACTCGTTGGGATTTGACCTCCCAAAAAGTTTCCACCAATGTCAAGGTATGCAAGGGACCACATATGCCCAAAACCATTTTCATGAATTGAACATTGTAACCCATTACCGCTGAGATCAAGGTGTGTGAGGGCAGGCATGCTGTTCCCAAAATTTTCAGGAACGGGACCTTGTAACCCATTACCACTGAGATCAAGGTGTGTGAGGGCAGGCATGCTGTTCCCAAAATTTTCAGGAACGGGACCTTGTAACCCATTACCACTGAGATCAAGGTGTGTGAGGGCAGGCATGCTGTTCCCAAAATTTTCAGGAACGGGACCTTGTAACCCATTACCACTGAGATCAAGGTGTGTGAGGGCAGGCATGCTGCTTCCAAAATTTTCATGAATGGGACCTTCTAATCTATTACCACGGAGATCGAGGTGTTTGAGGGCAGGCATGCTATTTCCAAAATTATGGGGAATGTTACCAACAATTCCCATGTATGTAAGACTGAGATGTTGAAGGGAAACCATACTATTACCAATCAATGTTGGGATGCTCTGGTTTGCCAGCAAGTTACTGATGAAGCTAAGACTTAAATGCTTCAAATATGGAAGCTCAATAAACGGAAGGCTGGCATGTGTAACTTTCCCAGACAGCTTCCTCACATGAAAAAGATCAATCTTGATGACATGACCAGTGAAGTGATCACACCCAACTCCAGCCCAACCGCTGCAGCAATTTTTGTTGTGGCTACCCCAAGATCGCAGACTGTCTTCCTCGTCAACAATGCTGCGCTTAAACTCCAGCAGCACTTCCCTCTCCCCATCAATGCATTTACTGGCACCCGCGCTCATCGCCAGCACCACCCAACTCACCCCCACGGCCATCAACAACAATAAACCCATGCCTAATTAGCTTGTTAAAGTATTTTCCTCTCAAATCATCTTCTCTTGTTCTGCAGCTTCTGCTCTGGGTCCTTAAGACATAATAGGAGCCCACCGCCAAGTCGAGTCGTTCTCAAATGTAAGAGCAATGCAAGTGTATGACCACCGACCGATTGTTGCTCACTCGTACGTACATCTTCACCTTTTACCACGCGTCCCCAATCCATGGTGCGGACGCGGAAGAAGAAGACGATTAGCCAAACCAGTGCCATTATTTTCGAGTGGCCGGTGGAGACCGTATAGTAGATTACAGTTTCTTCAACTTTTAAAAAAAGCTATTTTTTTAATAGTAAAAAATAGAAAAAGTGATTAATAGTAAAAGTTGGTAGTGTTTGAGAAAAAAGTGATTCTGGAAAAGTAAAAGTTGATAGTGTTTTGTGTAATAGAAAAAGTGAGAAGCATTTAAAGCACTCTTCTACCCGCTTCCAGCTTTTAGCTTTTAAGTGATTAATTAAACAGAAACTGTCATTTGAAAACACTGTTTTCAACTTTTTTAAATCAAAAGTTGAAAAGCGCTCTTTAAGCAAATCCACACTCCTTATGCAATCCTTCACACCCCACGCTGATTTTAAAGAGGGTTTTTGACCAAATATTTGGGCTTTTTCTATGAACATCAGAAAACGTGTCTTTTCTACAAAATTGAAAAACGCAATGTTACTTGGATCTGATTCTCAAAACTGATTCTGCTCCTTCAGGGAGCAGAAGCTTAGAGTGTTTGGGTGAAATTCCAGAAGCACTTCCGGAGCTCTAATTTACTCTCAGAATCAGTTTTTTTAGAAGTTGGGAGGTACCACCTTCTGAAAACTGATTCCGATTCTACTTTTGCTTTTAAAAAAGAAGCAGAAGCAGAATCAATTCCAAACACCCCTATGTGCATCGTGTAATTGTCCGCACACCGATGTCTGGTCTGGATTTTTATTTTATACTACCCTTTTTTATACGGAGTATTACCTTGTACCTTAAAACTTTTGCCAACATTCCATTTTTAAGCAAAGAATTCGTGGTTTCAGTTAATTCTTTCTTTCTCAACACAAATATTGACAACACAGTTTTTATTTTATTAATCTTTGTGTCTGTCAAACTTGACAAAATTTTAAGGAACTGAGGAAGTGATGTATATTGAATAATCTATTTTATTTTTAAAAAAGGAAAAACAATTTTCATGTTTTTAGCGTTTTATAACTTATTGTACCAAAATAAATAACTTTCGGAGTTTCGGGTACCTATAAATCCATAGATCATGAATATGAGCTTAAAATAAATAATATTTAAGATTTTAAAAATGACACGCTTTGATGCAGTTGTAGCCACTGTTATTTTATTCGCGTATAATTCACGTATAATACACTCAATCATATAATTCGCGTATAATACTCTCGTTTATGAATTTTTCAGAAAATACTGAAAAATTTACGTACTTTAAAGATAAAATTACGTACTTTAAAGATAAAAAATGTATAATACACGTACCGTACGTATTATTTCGTATTTTATTAAAGAAACACCATTAAACTGAAGCCTAATGGAGTGGTACAACTGAAGCAAAATGTCTAGTTGCTCAATAATATTTATATTGCTTAAAAAATTATTATGTCTTATATGTTCATTAATTGTTTAATAGTCATAAGATTTAATAAATTAGCTTCTTAAAGTCATAACTCGTTTCGATATTACTATTGGACTACTATTGTGTTACTCTTGTTATTGACCGCTTTTTTTCTGCAAGTGTACAGATCGGTCGTAGTAAAACCTAGAGTATTCTAGGGTCGATCCCACGAGGAGCACAAATTGAATTTTAATGGTTTAAGTTTCTATCAACAAAGTAAAAACTGATTTTGATTTGATTTTGATAAAATAAGAGCGAGAAGTAAACAGAATTAAGAATAAATCAAGTAAACAATAGATAAAATGGCCCTCGGGATTCGGGTTATACACTTAATATTAATAGAAAATCTCAGTGTTGGTTCAAGCAATTAAAGTGACAATTGGTTCTAAAATATGCTAATACTCCGTCGAGATATTAGCGTGTACCGGTTAAGCTAGTGTTAATCCGTCAATCAAACACTAAACTTAACTAGTCAAAAGGCGACAATTGAAATTCACCACAAATTCCTAACTATTTCTAGTATAGGTAAATCATGTTTATTTTACGGGCTCAAGTATCATGCCTCACCCGTCGGTGCATCACACGATACCTAACATAAGAATTAAGCACGAGCTCAATGCAAAATTCATCAATGAATTTCATAAAATAAATTTAATTGAAAAAATAATCTGTCGATTACAATGGAAGAACCAATCACAAGAGATAATCACTTAATACCAAGCTTTAATACCGAATCCCTCGGGATAAAATTCTAGCCAAAAATCATACTTAAAGTAAGAAAGAAATCACTTTTCAATAGCATAAACATGAAGGTAGAAGTTCTGAAATTGAACTACAAAAACTAGAAATTCTGAAATTAAACTAACTAATTAAAAGAGACTGAAAAACCGAAGACATCGATGAAGGAGCGGCTGGATTCCTCTTTCTTTCTCTCCCGTTTTCCCCTCCGTTCCCTTCTCCTTTCCTGCTGCGATGCTGGTGCGTTTTATATGACGGCCTGGGCAGATTTTTGGATCTTCAAATTGGGGGAGTTAATCCCCAACGGCTCCCTCCATTAAATTCGGCCAAGACTGCCTTTTCTTTTGATGATTGGGAATGTCAAATCCATCTCAAGATATGAAGGAGAGGTTAGGATGATTTGCCAGAAGTTTCCTTGTTATCCAAAGACGAAAATTATGCCCTCTTTGTGCGCAAGATGATCTTTCTAAAAATGATTTGGAGAGGTTACGGGAAAGTTTATTTCCTTGTCATTCTTGGGCTGATTTTGAGCAACTTATCCTTTTTCTTCTCATCTCTTCTAAATTGACCTCAAAAGTTCAAGCTTCTTTAATTTAAGACTCATCCTAGAAAAAAATAGTTTTATCACAAATCAGGAATAAAAGTCCAAAAAATGAATTCAAATAGGCCCAAAATATCAAAATGAATTATCATAAATAAAGAATAAATTTGGGCCTATCAGTTATCTACTCATACAAAGACTACAAAGAGAAAAGATTATTATGGCGGCCCACCAAATTTACGGCTATAGTAATTAAACAATTCTCTAGAAATATCTCTCTATTTCTACATAAATAGGAAATGTCATTTTTATTACTTATTGTACCTATGAATTAAAATTTTATATCTGAAAAAACTATTCCGTACATTTTAAATTGTCGAAGAATGTGATGCATATGCTAAATTACTCTTTACTCTCATAATTTAAATTAGTCTATAAGACATGTATTATATTCCGTATTTTTATGTCAAACAGTGTCGAAACAGTGTCATAACAGTAACATTTATCCCCGATAAGTTTATTTCCTTAATATGTGTGTAGGTCAAACCGAGAAGTTGTTTCGGGGACGGAGGAAGTATGTCCTAACAACAACAAATGCATGAAATTCGAGAAAGTATTGTGAAAGCAGTTTCACATGAGTATAATGATTTAAATGTTAAAGTACCACTAATGTTATGTACTCCGTATTTGTTTTTCAAGACAACATTGTCTCTTATTAAAAATATCTCTTATAAAGTTTTGTTCGTGGAATACTTTATTTTGTACTATGCACATATATTCCTTCTTAATATTTGTCATTTTTTCCACCTTCGATTCTATTAGAAAACTGTAGGAATTTGGAAACAAGATTTGGAAAATGAAAAACTGGAAAATGAAATTAGAAAATGATTGATTCATAAAACTACAAGGACTTATTGTAGACAATTTTAATATTTGGTTAGCTGGACATCCAGGTAACCGAGTAACCGGCTTACCTACTCGGGCGTGAGGCTAATCTGTTCAATGTGTAGACATTTTTTTAAAACAAGAACAAGTTATTCAATGTCAGTTTCAAATGATTTACATCTATGTACAACAAGTCTAGTTTTCAACCCATGAAAACAATTCTAAATAATAATATATGGTTTCTTGAAAGAAAAACATTATATTTCATATGAATAAGAACCGAGTCATCCTAACACTATTTTTTGTTTTGGATTAGAATTCAAGTTGTTTTGTACGACAAACTGTCAGAGTTTTTATTCAGATCTAGGATAGTGTCCAACATTACACACTTACACGTCGTGCCATAGAATTACAGTGCCCAAAATTTCTTCATAAACTTGGGATGAAATTGTGAACCCTAACATGTAACTCCCGACCGAGCTCATCTACTTTAATTTATTGATTCAATCATCTTCCGTTTGTTAGTACTACATCCTTTTCTAATAACTCTCTTATGGTATCATATTTGTAAGGAATAATTGTATTTAGATTTTGATGATGCTAGGATAGATTATAATTTTAAAGTACCCCTTATAGAAATTTTGTATTAGAATTTTTCTTTGTAAGTATTAGCATAGTCGACGGGCCAGAGATCCTCTTGGTACTTCAGATCAGAGTTGCTAGGAGAACTGCTCCATGAGAGTTGCTTCTCAGAGAAGCACCAGAGCTGCCAGGAGAACTGCTCCATGAGAAGTGCTAGCAGAGTTGCTCCTTTAACTAAATATGAGAGTTGCCTGCAGAGCTGCTGATCAAAGGAATCATGAGAGCTGCTGCCAGAGCTGCCCTCATATAGCTATCAGAGGACCATCAGAGCCCGACTTGAGAACTGCTAATCAGAGATTCTCATCAGACATCAAACGCTTAGAAGAATTCGATGCTACCTTTCAACGACCGTATAACTAACGGGAAATTCCCTAACGGCTAGAAGATTTTTCACCAAAGGAAAGCATTTAATGCTTATTTAATGAGCCTAATACGCTGTGGAGTAATTGCAGATGATTGACCGAGATTCCTGGAGAATATTATACAAAAAATAGAAACCTGCCAAATATGCGGGTCCAACCGGTCAACTCCACAGTACGCGCATTCAATGCAGTTGTCTCCTCCTCCAACGGGTAGACAACCCCAGTATAAAAGATACTCGAGGAAGAACAATGGGATAACTTTTGCTCTTGAAATATTCAAACAAGCTCTCTTGAGATTCAAACTCCATATTCATTCTACAAGAAAAAGCTTACGTTGGGAAGATTAAACTACTCAGATCCTTCAACCCCAACGAAGAGCAAAGTTCCTCTAGTTCTTCAACACTTCAAGAACTTCATCAACAAATCT